AACTGATCCAGGGATTGGTGGGTGACATGGGGTTTGTTTCTGCCTAACATGATCTGACATGCACCATCCACATTTGCCTTGGTTTGAGCCAAAAACAACCAATTTTGGGGCGAACAGCTGACCGAAGGGCAGGCACCTGACCGAAGGCAGGCCATCACCTGCGAACAGCTCTTTCGACCTTTTGTTGCTAGTAACAAGGCGCATCGCTACGTTCGCAACGAGGGCATTGCTACTAGTAACAAGAAACTACGAACGTAGCGATGCACTTGTTACTACTAGCTATGCACCTGCGGACCTCGTAGCCTAACTGCACCAGAGATGCCCCTCGGCTCCAACACAGCGATGCCCGCTCCACTCCGGCGTCGTCTGTTCGGCTGCAAGCAACGCCACGGCAGTTGCCTCGGCTTCACCGGACAAGTAGCGGCTCACTGCATCCCAGTAGCTGCTTGAAGAGTCCGCATTCTTGCTTAAACGATGCGAGATTTTTTGCTGTGATGGCCGGGTTCAGGCCATCCAGTTGGTGCAAGGCGGTTTAAATGTAGACTCTTGATCAATAACCCCCCCTTATGACGAGGTTTGTCAATTCAATTGGGGGAGGTGATGAATCTTGATTCTTCGACATTACTGACTCTTTCTCGATGTGAGCAGCACGAACTGTCAGATCCATCGGACCCTGGCCCAACACAGTCCCTCACTTCGCCCCCGTCACAGTCCCTCACCGTCCCGGCGATCCCCGGACCCCGTTCCCCCACGGGTGAACCCGCGGCCGTGCTGCGGACGAAGCCGGACCCCCGTGGGGGTCCAGGTCCACGTGCTTCAAGCTGCAGGGCTCCGCACAGCGTGTGGATACCGAAAGGCGCCGAAGGGTCGAAGGTCCCGCCGTGTCGTTCACGTTCACGTGTTCGGCGCGGTGAGTCGTCGAGGAGGCGAAGAGGCGAAGAGGGTGAAGTCGAAGGTTGATGTGACGTCTTCAACATGAGGAAGGGGAAGAATGAAATCTAGAGGGAAGCTATGACATGGGACATAGTCACATAGTCACTACGTCGTGTTTGATCTGGTTTGGGTGGTCTGGATATGGGCAAGTTGGCTCAATCCCATCGCCATATTGAGAAGGAGACACGTTTCATGGGCCAAAACAGTCTTCGCTACGTGGTTGGAATCATCAGCAGTGGAGAACCCTGTGATTTGAAGAGACCTTGAACGGAGCTTTGCATTGACATGGTATCAGGAGCCGGTCCAAGGCTGTTCATCAGTTGTTTCATCAATAATGTAGAGGACACTCGAAGGCTCCAGAACTTAAACTCTCATGCATCACGAAACAAGTGAACTGGTGTCGGACGTGGAGCCTGTGGGAAGTTCCTATGGGTCTGTTTCGACATGGTGGGACAAGCTAACCGTACCAGCGGTGTTCTCTGGATGCCCTCCAAGTCTTAGTCTCAGACTTTGTCCAGCATAGAATCATAGAAGTGCAAGAGAGCCAAGCGGAAGAACTTATTCATTGTGGGGCTCCACTCCCATGCTCTTTTCGAAGTAGAATACACTGCACAAGCGTTCACATATGCCCTTTCTGGAAGTGAACCTCTTCCAATCACCAGCACTCCATCCATTCGGGGGTCTACATGGAGTCAGGGGCGTTGGTTTGGAGGCGACCTGACACATCCAGGTGAGTTTTCAGTGTGTATTTGTGACGACCTGACACGTCTCCGCCCACCTCGCGACAGGATTTATGCTGGGCTGAAACGTGTGGGCGCAGCTATTGAGGAGTTGGGAGGCGATCGGATGTTCTTTGTTTATCGGAAGTTTATCGGAGCCAGGCTCGGGTTAATGGGCACATGGAACTGGCCTGAATTGGCTGTTTCCCTGATTCGACCACCTAGCAAATTCTGATCGCAAGCAAGTCTCAATCTGACAGGAAAGCTTTGCTACACAAGCATCGAGCATTATTGCCTTCGATGGCGGGTTGCTAGATTCGGAGGTGTATAGCTATTGAAGCCAGTATTGTACGGATCAAATCGCCTCTCTCATACGGACATGAATGGTGCACCAGCCCAACCACCTTTCCCCCCCAAGACGCTTGCGCCCAGATGATCCCGGGTCCAAATGAGCACCGGTGCCAGGGGTGCTTACTGACATTTTGCAAACGGTGGGCTTTCTGAAGAATACCTTCGAGCTGCGCAGGCCGCCGCAAGCGGCGGTTCCCAGGACGAGCTGCCACGTGCTGCGATGTCTCGACCGATGACTCGACCCATCGAAGATCCGCGAGATGGTTGGCTGTTGGATGGCTGGGGGTTTGCACCAACTGAGTGGCGTTTCGCGGAGTTCGCAGTGCACAAGGAGTTCGTAGATTGCCCAAGCAGTGAGGTTTTACAGACCGGAAAGAATAAGAATCACACCGTGAGATTCTGCTCTTTCCAAGAGATACACTCCTTTTGCCTCCCTTTTTGCCATGATTTGTCGCCCGGAACCGGGTCCGGCCCCCGAAACCAGGAGTGCAACATCTCCGCTTCGCAAAGCGACCACCATGACGTGAATCGGGTGGACCGGGGTGACTTGTCCGACGACCCGCGATGAAAAAAGGGGGTGCAAGAAGCGGTGCTCCAGCGGTGCTCCAGCTGAAGACTCCGGTATCCGTTGCCTCGTTCTTTCGTTCTTTCTTTCTGTCTTGCATTTTTTTCAACAGTTGGAGAGTTGGCCGGCTGAGTTCTTGGGCTCGGCTCAAGAGGTTATCCACTGGCTGGAGGCTGGATTCTTCGATATGTAGGAAACAGCTGTCGTTATGACATAGTTTGGCAAGTTGTGGCTCCGCCATAATGTAGAAGATGCCCAATGGCCTGATGGAACTTGCTGGGGGGTGGCCTTCTGAAGCGGATATCTACAATAGTGAAGTGGAGGGAAACACTCCGTGGCTCTCAAGGAGGACTACTGCATGACGCTGCGTGCACGGCTTCACGTGTCCTTGGGAAAGGCAGGGGGGTTGAGCCCGTCGGGCCAAGGCCGAGGTGAGCCCGTCGGCCGTGGCCAAGGAAGCACCGCGAGTCACGGACAGTCCTCCCGAGAGTTCTGACAACCCAACAGCTACCCTTGTCATACCAGCAGGAGCTCGTTGGTCCTCAAAACAATGATTCTTCACGGATGATCTGCTGCGGTTGTTTGCCGATCCCAGGCGCTCTTTTCCGAGGGCCGGTTCCCGGCAGCGGAAGCTTCGTGCGCTGGGGCGGTGGAAGCTTCGTGAACTGAGAATGGAAGAACAAGGTGGCTTCTGGACCATGGGCCACTCACCTTTCTTTTTGTGCGAAAAGAGAGACAGAGACAGGGTATTATAGCTTCACCCCCACTCAGCTGCTTGCCAGCTGAAAAACTGGAGGTACAGGGAGGCTGCGGAGCTCTTGGCTTTGCTGTTTGGAGATGACCATCCAGAGCATTTGGAGATTTGGCGCTATTATTGGACAAAATCATGCTCCACCATATTGCGATTAGAACCCCTTCAGTGGTATTACGGTATATTCGAAAGATAGACTCTGAAGTGGAGGCAGGGTTTGTCTACAATTTGTTTGGTGATCTGAAATCCCCAGGCAAGCCATTTGTTAAACATTTGTATTTGACCCGCTCAGGAGTTGCATACTTGCATATTCCCATACCCATTATGAGAAAGAACTACAGCAGTATACAGCAGTTGGATTCTCTTGCCCATTTTCCTAGGCAATTCTGTCCAGCCGAAAGCACAAGCCGTGCAAAACAGCGAAATCTTGAAAAGACAAAACACGCATCCCATGCGACAGGCTGAGATAGGTCTGGGTCAAAACTGTACTTTCCGTCAACTATCATCGGTTTGTGCTTCCATTTGCTGAGTGATCGCCCACAGTTTTTGGTGACTTGCTCGAGTTGAGGAAGCTGCTTCATTGAAGCAAGCAGCTGAACAGAAGCAGGTGCAATCCATGTGCAGAGGGAGAACATACCAATTTTATGTAAGGTAGCTCGCTGCAACATTGAGTTTATGATCATCTTTTTAGCACTAGCAGATGACCATACTATGGGCAAACTTGGATTGAGACTCCCGTTTTGACGCGCACCCTTTGCGCCTTGTTCAAGATGGTAAAGCTCTCGTGCAAGAGGAAAACAACAAAAAACAGACCACCAACCAATTGGCTCGTGCGATTGTTGGTGGCCTTTCCTGTTCCAAGAGTTTCTGGAGGGAAATGACACCCAGAAACCGCTTGATACCAGTCTACCAGGGGTCTACACTGTTTCAACATGATTTCCACTCAGTTGCCTCAGTTGACTCATGCTTCACGAAATGCTCGGTGGTTTTTCAAAAGCTTCGCCCCGGAGCGCAGGCGGACGTCCGAAAACCGGATGCCAAGATGCCAACGCAGCCTGACTACGATTGGGAAGTGGTTCCCGAGCGGTCCAACGTGGGAAAGCGCTGGGGGTGAAGTGAACCATGTCCTTTGTGAAGAGGATCCTGTGTATTTTCGGAGTGCAAAGAAGACCACAGTGTTTGGTCTTCTCATCCAAAACAACGATCTAGCTACTGTAAGTAGGCAATCAGGTTTCGATCTCGAAGTTTTTGATCCACTTGCTTGGGGCGAGGAAGTTTGGAGGTGTATCTGTACCGAAGTTCCCAGCTGCCAAGGCCAAACCGAACTGCAAAGAAGCGGCGATGAGCACAAAAGAGTCGACTGGGTGACCGGCTTCCGGTCGGTTTGGATCTCTTCGAGTCTGAGTGTTCTTCTCATTGTAAGCACGGCAGACTTGCGGCAACAGTGGGCTGCATTCGGGCGGGCAACAGTCCATGCTTGCGCCAACCCCTTCCTCTTGGGGAACCCGACATGTGGCCGTTTTCGCAGCAAGATCTGACAGCTTTGAAGGAGGTTCCATTTAGACCAGATGAAAAACTAGAACTCAGCAGGCAAGGACAACCCAAACGAAGAACCGACACCCCGAGCTGGACTTCAGGCACCTTCAGGCCGATCCGTCCGCACTCGGTCCAGCGGGTGCCCATGGCCCGCACCAAGCTGGAGGCCCTGCAGGTGCGAGTCCGGTCGGCCCGGCCGGGGGAGTTCTACGCGTTTGGCCCGGACCGACCGTCCGGTGGAGACCGGCCGACCGACCCGCCGGTGGAGACCGCAGGCCAGCCAAGGAAAGGGCAAGGCAGGGAAGTCGGCTGACCGGGCGCGACTGGTGCACTCGTGGGGTGGGAAGGAAGGGTGGTCAATGTGGTTAGCTGCCTGAGCATCTGAATGGGTCGGATCTCGTGTTGTTTATATATACTTTTCCTCAACGAAAAAAATCCCTCCACACTGCAAAAAAAATCACGGACACGCGAAGTTGTTGCCGCGGCTGGTCACATGAGAATCGCGATGCGACCATAATCAAAGCGTATACAGAGGGGATTGGTACCTGAGGTTCAGGGATTCCAGTGCAAAGACATTTTGGTCTTCCAATCTGCAGGAACATTCAGGATCTTTCAGATACCAATTAACCAGGGGATTCCACCGATTACTTGGGACTTGTGGGTGCGACTGACTTCAGAGTTACCTAGGATATATTCCCAAGTTTGTGGTGGGTAGAATGTAGAAAGAGGCTTGATCAACCTCTACAAAGTACCTTTGCTACTTCACCACATCATCCACATGAGTTCAAGGCCAATAGACATTTCATGTCCACAAACTGCTTGTCCATGGCAAGGAGAAGAAGGCCAAGAAAGAATCCAAAAAGCAGAAGGCCGCTGTCTTTTCGAAGCATCCGGCAGAACAGAAAGGACGAACTGGGACACGATCCAAAACATGTGTAGGTAAGAAGTTGCAGATGTGCTCTGCTCACTGTGAAATTGGAGCCCTTCCAGACGTTTGGGTCTTGGTGCTCCAGTCGGCATGACGGCGGGCCTTTTGGCGAGGCCGAATCGCAGCTGGTTGAGGGCACTTCAGCCACAGGCGGCGCCTTCGACATGTTCGGCTTGGATGCCACGTTGAGAACCATGGAATCATTGCTCTTTTGCAGCGCTGAGGGACGCAGCCACAAAAACAGTTGTTTGACTGATAGGAAGCTTTCGAGCATCGAAAGCCTTCAATTTGACCACAGAGCACAGAATTACATAAAGATACAAATTCCATCAAATTCCAAGGGCATTTTGCGTGTCAAAACAGGACCGCCGCGGCATGACGCTTCGTTAGAGGGTGGCGTTGTGATATTTTGTTCGGTGTAGGATGAGTCAACTACTCGTTGAGTGAAGTCAGTGAAGTAGGGGATTAGATTAGCCCTTGATAGAGATCTGATAGAGATCTGAAATTGCCTTGAAAGCCAAGGATGTCTCAGGGTTCTTTGAGGACGTGTCGACCTCTTCGCTTGCTCTGCCCTGCATCTCATGCCGAAAAAACAACGCGCGTGCGCGCCAGCCGTCCGTCAGGTGCCCGGACGGCGCCGGGCGTCATTGCCGAGAAGGAGGCGCGGGGCGGGTCAGCCGGCGTGGGCGGCGTAGGCGTAGGCCGTGGGAGGAGGTCGAAAAGCGGCTAGAAAGGTGGGTCGAGAAAGACGTGCCAGGTTTTTGGATTCCTGCGATGGATGTGGTTTTCAAACGATGGGTGAAGCCGCCGGGCGTTGAAGCTGGAGGGTCGGAGGCTCAGCCTCGCAGAGGTGGGGATCGGTCATGGCCGAGTCGCCCACTGAAACGCCCATCCTCATCTTCCATGGCTTCCAGAACCGAGATCCGGACCACGAGATCCGGGAAGGCTCTGGCGAACACGAGAAGTTCTTTTCCGAAGGCTCTTCCAAAGCTTGCAGGATCGGTTCCATCGCCTCCAAGGGGACAACCCAGCGGATCCATGTCCCACCGCCGGCGGGCGCGGCCAGCGCGGGCTGCGGAGGTCTTTTACTACCAGAGCAACACCGACCTCCTTTTCCCCAAGGCACATGCGCAACTATGGTGTTGACACAGTGTGCAGACTGCGTATGTGTCTAGTTGACCTTTTCTTTCTTATGTATATATATATATAAATGTTTATGCAGAGTACTGTACTTACTTACATGTAGCATTGGAATGTCATTTGATGAATCGCCACTACCACGGACCCCAAAGCGAGGACGACGCGATCGGACCAAAGATCAGTGCATCTTCCGCGATCGGAAGACTTGCGGGACATCCTCAGTCGACGACTTTCTTGGGGTGCCTTCCAAGTGGCTTTGTACGTGATTCATGTTTTGGGGGCTGGGCTTGCCGGCCGAAGCAGTGGGAGCTTTGGACATCCGGATGGAGCGAGCTTTCCAGAGCACAAGCGTGGGTGGGATGGACCCCTTCCCAACTCAAACGAACACCTGGCCGTTCCACTGCGAACTGGCCAAACCACTTCGACTGGCGTGCCGGTGGTTTTTGGGAAGTTGGCGCGAGCCTCGAGGTCTCCTTCCAGAGGTTGGTGCGAGAGGTTTGTCCTCGCCAGGGATTCCCAGACTGAGACGGCGGTCCAGGAGCAGAGAGATGCCATGGTTTTTGGGATGGGAATGTGCGCAGGCACTAATGCGCATGCGCGCCATCTTGGGCCCTAATGGTATAGAATCTACAAATGTTTAGGGACATTCTGGAATCATTTTTCATTAAGCATATTGTATATATATATATCCAAATGGCTTTGGAGGATCATTTGTTGGCTACTTGGCGTATCACCACACTGAAGAAATGGCATTTCTCACGACCCTCCATGCTGGGCGACCCACATGGTATTTCGCACGGTTGTGAACCCACCCTGTGAATGGTCGTAGGACCCTGGCCTTTTACGCAGCATTCGCAGGTTGCCAAAGTTGCCAAAGTGTGCCTTGTTGTGTGGACTAATACCAGTCTTATTCTTTCTTCAATCAACTTAGGCCAAGTGACTCTGGCTGGGCTTTTGAGTGGATTTGAAGATCCGGCAGGTTTATCACCCCTCAGCAGGCGGCGGTTCTGTCACAATCTTCCCATGGCTGGCGGACCTTCCGACCTTTTCCATGGCTGGCCCTGCTGAAGGGCATAGCCAGCCTGCTACGCCCGCTGGCCTCGAGAGGCGTCGACGCTTCGCCTCTCGCGCCGACGTTTTGTCCAATCTCAACTCACAGTTCCAGATTTCAACTACCCAACTCTGCTTCTTCTGCTTCTCGCGAAAGAAATGCATGTGATTCTGAGAATCATTGAATGTCTCAGCAAGGGCATCGTGAGCTTCATTTTTCTTTCCTTCCTGGTGCTTTGTGTGTGCTTGCTGCGTGGCCTCCCAGCCCGAGCACCCCAACATCCCAGTGTGAAGGAGGGCGTTCAGTGGAGCTGGGTGGTCTTCATGGGAGCGGTCTACACCCTGACCTACTTCACCACCGACCAATATGTGCCAAACCTTCCGGAGATGGGCCTGGATCTCAACGGATCGCAAGGACTCATGAGCTTCACCGTGCAGATGAATTTCGTGGTGAAAGCCTTCTCGGGCGTCTTCACGGCAGGCCTGTCCGATCGCATCGGACGGAGGCCCACGTTGCTGGTGTGCATCTTTGTGCTGAGCTTGGCCAGCTTCTGCTGCGGATCTGCCCAGCGCGTGGAGTGGTTCGTGGCCGCTCGCATCCTGCAGGGCATGGGCGAATCTGCGGAGCCGGTGATCTTCGCCATGGCGCGAGACTACTTCACCGACCCGGAGCAACGCTTTAGGATGGTGGCAGCTTTAAATGTGATGTCCATTGGTGGCATGTTGGTGGCACCCGTGGTGGGAGGCTTTGTGTCCGAATTCTCCAGCTGGCGGGTGCCCTTCTGGGCTTTAGCGCTGACCTGGGCTCTTCTGGGGATTTATGCGTGTGGTACCATGGTGGAAAGCTGCCCCGATCAGCAAAGTGACACCAGTCTGAAGGATGTGTTGAAGATTTTCCAGCCAGAGCTTCTTTGGCTCTTGCTGAGTGAGAGTTGCATGATGGCGGCCTATCTGACTTTCAATGCCAATTTGAGCTACCTGGTGCAGGTCGTCTTCCGAGACTCGACCATGACCACTTCGATGATTATGTTGACCTTCGGAGCGCTGAACGGACTTGGCTTATTGGTGATGAAGCGAATTCTCTCTGGGAACCTTCTTGAGGCTGCCAAGACTGCAGTTTGGATATATGCATCCACTGGCCTCATCTTCTCAATTCTTGGGTTATTCTTCTCTCAGTTCATGTGGGCATACTTGCTTGGATCCTTTCTACAGGCGAGTGTTGGCGTAATGGCGCTGGTTTCCGTGAATGTCCTATTTTTTGAACCCTTGAAAGATTGCGCGGGCATGGCCGCTGCATGCGAAATTTGTGCCAAGAGCGTCATTCCATGTCTCTACTCAATGATGGCGACACAGTCTTTGATCTTTTCAGGTGCATTTGGCCTGATCCAATGTCAGGCTCTTGCCTGTCTGGTGTCTGGGCTGGTCTTCTCTTGCTTCGCACGATCGCCTCCCCCCTGGGCTTTGGAGGCCTCTGAAAGGCCTGGGTCAGACTATCTTGCTGTCTCCGAGTAATGTCCGCCGCGAGTGGTGAAGCCGTTGCGATGTCCCGACCGGCTTTCTAAGTCCGTTGAATGAGTCCATTTTTGGATCAAAGAACGAGGGCGGTCGGAGAAAAGATACTTGCCAACAGAGCTTGGATAGCCATCATCATGTACGTCCTTTGCGGGTTTGAGGGTCACTTATTGACTCAACCCAGGGATTGACTCCATGTGAGGTGCTCTTTAAAGCTTGGTCTTTGAACGGGTCGTGCACGCTGCCTGTTTGCCTTGGTGATCTGATCGGAACAGATACCGGTGGTATGTAGCAGCTGTGCTGTGGCTGGCTCCAGACATCTCTCTGTATCCAACCTGACCGGCACACGCCCCTCCCGTTCTTCGCTGTGAAGCGCCCAAAAGCGAAGCGCAGCCTGTCTGAGGTGGCTACCGCATGGAGGCACAGGCCTTGATGGCGCTGCAGGAAGCCGCTGAGGTGAGATGCAATGGAGATGGGCTGAGATGGGCTGGGGTTCTTGGGTTCTGGACTGGTTTAAAGTGAACACAAGTGGAAGCATGGTGCAAGTGGAACTAATTAGGCCGGCCCATAGGTCCCCTGAACCTAAGATTTGGCCAGGATTTTCAGGCAGCTTTGGCGCTTCTTCTCCTGAAATCGACCGATGCCTTGTATTTGACGACCAAAACGCTCCTTCCAACACCAAACCGAGGCGTGTCGCGAGAAACGTTGCCCCGCGTGCGCAAGACGTGGCAAGGGCGGACATGTGTGACCTGCAAGATGTCCCTGTGCAGGAATCAGATTGCTCTGTGTTTGGCAAATCCCAAACCCACCCTTCCGCGCTTGCGCTCCAGTCGAGTCGAGTGCTCTCCGTGGTTTCGTTGGGAGGATACACGGAGACAGATACAGAAGATTTTGGAAAGACTTGGTCAGACCACAGCTGCCCAAGCGGTTTTCGACCCAGGTCAAAACCCGTCAAATCCTGGATGTATCTCCACGTCTTTTGTCCAGGATGATCGGAAGTGTTCAGGGGGGATCTCACTACCCAGGTCCATGTTCCAGGTGATCCCTCTATTTTCCAAATGTGATTTGGAGATTCTGGGTCCATTTTCCAACCACTGGGGAGGCACTGGGGTACATTTCTGCTCCATGTTCCACTGATTTGGAGGAGTCACATGCTTGGGGATCCTCATTTGACATGCTTCCATGACGTCTGGATCCGACTCTTCTGAAGTCGCTGTAGAACTACCCGAAGGATATGTGGAGATAGATATACCCAGTGTAGAGGTAGAGACATAGCCACGTAGAGTAGAGGAATTGCAGATCTACCTAGCTTGGTGTTCCCCATGGCAGCCATACACTCAAGGAACCAAAAAAGAATTTGAGGTTTGGTCATGTATATCACATATATATATATATCTGACATTGGTAGACATAAACCCAGGACCCAACCCTCGCGCCAGTCATTCCTCTGTGGCTTGTTTGGCGACACCTACCAGTTCTGCTTGCACGGGCGTCCGGTGCTTAGCGTGATTGATGGATCCTCCCGAGATGTTTCAGATCCACACACACACACACATGCGCACAAGCACACACGAGTGTGTTTTGCACTGGTTTAGGGTTTAGGGCCGAGTAAATGGAATTTCGATCCTTGCAATATTGTAGTTGCAAGTGAGCAGAATCAAAGTGCAGTCTATGCTGCCTATCTAGGCAAGGCCTGCTGACTTCGGCACAGACATGACCACAACCTAGCACTACAGCACTCAACTCCACTCAAGCCTCGAAGCCGCTGGCTGGACTCGACGATGTGAGGTCGAGTGACCATCATGGATCGGGATCTCAAGTTGCCGCGACCTCGACGGTCTCGACCGGTCCTGTGGGGGGGCTTTCGTGAAGCTGCCGAAAAGGGCTTCAAGAGAAGACTCTTCATGTGGGCCTCACAAACCATTGTTTTTTGTATTCTTTTTTGGATTGGCTATACTTGTTCCTGCTAAGAAGATGTCCTGAGTCATGACCAAATAATGACCGATGATTGTCATGTGCCAAGTACGAAGAAGAACAACTTAGAGATATTGCAGGATTATGCAGAATCACAATACAGCATCATACACCATACACCTTGCGTCTGCTGGTTATGCTTCTGGCCTTGTGCTGTCAGCCTTCAGCTTGATACAGCGGGAAGCGGGGAAGCGTGGCCATTTGTGGAGCTGGTATGCGTGTCTGGCTGATGGGATGTTTTCTGATGAAAGTCACCTGCTGAACGGACAGCTGTTCCTTTAGTCGTCTGCAGCTTTTGGCCACCTTGCAAGATCGTACTTTCTTCCAAGTAATTGGAGCTTCTGTGTTTGTCGTTTGTCATTTCTTCAGTTGCTGGTGCAAGATGGCGTGAGCAGCACATGCCCGAACAGCAACACACTGGCACTTGTGATTATTTGATCACATGTCGAACCTGCTGGAACAAATAACATCATATATCTCAAGTCAGAGCTTCGTCAAACCAACTGAACCACCCAACCACGCAAAGGATAGAACATAGTAAATGCGCACCGAATCAACTCATGGCGACGTCCTGATCTGCTGCAGGTCTTGCAAGATCCGAGGATGCAGCTCAGGACGTGAGCCGTCGTGAAAACGACGTGAGCTCAGTCGTTCACGGATAGAATGACCGGAGATGAGGGTTGCCTTTCTCAAGGCCTGTGTTGATGCAGCTGCCAGGCGGAGTCTGTTCAATCTTTTTGTCCTGGGTTGAGGACCACCCTTTTTTGGTGGTGAAAAAGAGCTATCCCCCACGTGGTGGCTTCCCCTAGCTACCAATTTCCCTCAAGGATGACCGGAACCTGGCACAATGCTGCACCTCCCCCCTCCTGGGTTTCAGAATATCTACAACTTGTTTTGCTTCCGGGCCATCGGATGTCTACCACGCTACAGGCGGTTCGCGGTCCGCCTGGTCACGAGACGCCTGGGTCGCGTGACAGGTTCTCGCCTGCCTTTTTCCTTCTTTTGAGAGTTTATTTTTTCGAACTCCCAGAAGCACCAGTTCCTTAGGAACTACCAGGACCACCACCAGGACCACCCTTTTTCGGATGCAAGGAACACAGATCCTCGGGTCAGGTCCGTGTCGACGCCGGCAGGATCCAAAGAGTTCGCCAGCGGAGGCCGAAGAGTTCGCGACCGGGAAGTTGAACAACCGCAGCCCAAAGAGTGGTCCGATTTGTGCTGCATGTGCTTGGCGATGGGTCCAACTGGAAAAACCGTCTGTCTGTTTGGGAAGACGGCACCCTTCAACTGCTTCTTTTGACCGTTTGGTTTTGAGGACCTTGTTCTTTAAACGATGTTTCCTCACTCCTGGGTTCATCCCTCCTCAGCTTCCCATCCCCTCCATCCCACCAGGTGACAAGAAGGAGCCTGGGGCAGAGAGCTCGAGCCCGCCGCCCGTGGCGACGGCGCCACCGGAGCCGGCGCCCACGGAGACGGAGACTCCGACAACGCAGATGACAGAGACGGCTCCCACCGCCGAGACCTTGCCGGCGGGGTGCGGGGTGAGGGAGGGGGTGAGGGAGTTCGGTAGCGAACCAAAAACAAAGGAGGTAGGGATACTTCTCTATGTATCTATGAGGGTGAATACACTTCTCGATTTGTGCGTGTCGAATCGAAATGCAACGCATCGGACTTTTGCTGTGACTTGAGCCAATTCAAAGGTGAGACTGAAGTTATGCGAAATCCCTCGAAGAACATGTTCAAGCAACTGTCTGTTTGTATTCCAACTTTCGTACTCTTCTTCTTGCTTGAACTGTATGCAACTGCTCAACCAACCACGCCGAATTCAGAACGAACACGGACAGGACCTTGAATGGTCCAATGACCTGAAGTCAACATCTGGTGTAGTGACTTGGAAACGTAGCCTGTGTGCTTTTGTCAACACATCTGCTAACATATAGTGCGTGGTCAAATGACCAAGCCTTCTCAAGCGTCCCGGCCTTCGCTCTTCGCGAATTGCCAGCACGCCAAGTCGTTGCAACTTGTCAACCGGAACCCCTTTCTGTCCTGTTGCAAGGTCAAACAAGTCCATGCGATCAACATACGCGTTTGTAGCAAGCCAAGGACGCAAGGAATCCGGAATGTGGAGCAATGCCATGGGAGTCAATCGATCAGGCCACACATAATTCATCAAGTCTGGCTCACAGATCCTCATTGAGACCAATTGAGCATTTGGAACAGCACGTGCGCAAGCGTGTGTCTCTGCATGCGACGTGCTGTGGCTGATCCTCTTGGATTTGGTTGAAGTGCATATCAACAAATGCATACGACCACCGTGCGTACCTGAAGTGCCGTCAACAACAAAGTCATGCTTGTCAACTTGCAAGGGATGTGCACGGTCTTCTGCCAACAGTACGCAGACACCAATGTCTGCAAGGATCAACTTACTGCAAAAATGAATCCTGGTGTAACCGAAGTGTTCCGGAAGGCAAACGTTCAAGTTCTATACCCGTGTGGGTATACGGCATGCGCTGTCGCTTCAGAGGTCCAAAACGTTTCTCTAACATGCCATGCAACCAAGTACGCTTTGCCCAAACACCCTGTGACCTGCAAATCATCAATGTGAGCTGTAAGCAACAATGTCAACTGCCACTTGTCGTCAACATATTCAACCCAATACAAAAAGTTTGAGTCAAACAACGACTTGTATGCTCCACACTCCTCTTCAAGGTATTGCAACAATGCAAGTTGAAACATGAGTGGAGCATCTGAGAAGCCATATGTCGCTTTGAGAGCCTTTAGACACCAATGCGCCCTTGAGGCACCCGGAATTTTCAAGGAGTCGGGAGCGTCCGACATTCGTCTGAAATGCGACCACGCGTTTTCCGGCGGAACCACACAAACCGATCGAAGAGCCTTTTGTGCGAAACCTAGCTGTCGTGACAACCGTTCCAAGTCTTCATACCTAAGAGCTTGAAGAAGCGCGCGCGAGATGTCAAGGGATTCAGTATCTATGTCGTTTCCCCAAATAAGCCCCTCGACCATGCCAAGTGACAACACTAAGCCCTGTGACAATATCTGCTGCTCTGTCAAATTAGCCGTATCATCATCCACCCGAAAAATCTCCAATGTGTTCACGTCTACCCAATATTCAGCAATCCCTTCGTGCGGTGACACGGAGTCCCACATGGCTCGAAATTCCGGAGGAGCGAAACGAGCATGTTGTGTGCTTGCTGAGGTTTGGACACGGTATCTGCATAGTATGGATTACTATATTTATGGTGAGTAAACAGAAAAGAGAAAACATTGCCTTGCTGAAACGCGCCATCGAAAGCAGAGACACTGGACGTCTCTGTAAAGCTTTGAGGTCCTTCCAGCTCTTCATGTTTATATTCAACCGTGGCGTCAGAGTGATCTCTATAGTCCACAGTTGCATTGGAGTCATTCACAGAGGCTTCAGGTGCATCAGCCATGGATGGTTGCAGTGTTTCTCCATCCGTAGGAGGCTGACGTGCACTTGGTTCCTGCGAAGAAGATGCTGGTGCATCTGAAGAGGCAATGGGAGGTCCTGGTGGGTCATCATCGCCGGCCCGTTTTGCGATGTTTGACTGCGTCGCCCTCGTCATGCGAGCGATCGAGCTCTTTCTTCTATGGTCACTTCTTGTGGGGCTGGTGTGTCGGATTGTGGTAGTTCTGGTGTTGGTGCAGTTGAGTGTGGTTTGTGATTCTTGTAGTGGGTGAGGTCAGCAGAAGGTTCGATAGTTGGTTGTACTGGAATATGCATGGAGGTGTCATTGGTGGAGCTTGTATTGGAAGGTAGTCGCAATTCCGGACGTGATGGGAAGTGAGGTTGTTGTGGTGCTCGTAGAGGCTGCTCTGCAATAGCCTGTGGCGAAGGAGGTGATGGTGGTGGACCATCATTGTATGTTGGTGGTGCTTGTAGTTCTGGTAAAGTGGACTCATCTTCGTTCATGCTTTCTTCTGGCACTGGCGACAGGATAGCTGGGGGTGCAATTGGTGACTGTTATGGTGTAAATGGTGATGACGTACTTGATGCTGTCGGAATCAGGTGGAATGGAGCGTGGATCGATGCTAGAGACATCGTCCCAGTCTATTGCTTCTTTCTTCACTCTTGGGTCTTCTGCTGTATCGTGATAGGTGTAGAGAAACAAAGTGCTCGGCTCCATCCTTGATGTGGTGCAAAAGCGAAGCTGCTTCAACTCATATTGGTGTGGAGCCGCTCTGTTCCATCGAAGCAGTAGACCTTGAGAATGCTGGCGTGGGCATGGAATGGGACGAAGGTCAGTGCCATAAAGCAGACCATGTATTTGGCCTAGATGTTGCTGAAGATCCGATTGCTCCAGAGCGCGGTAGACAGGGTGCTTCAAAAACTCTTGGAAGGTAGACGCCCAAACACCAGTCAAGTCTTCTTGTATTTTATCTATAGCCAATCCAAATGCACTTGCCAGAAGGTGTAGCGTCGGTCAGCTGGTGCAAGGTCTTGAAGTGACAGGTCAAAGTTGAGTCTCTTGTTGTGCAGGCAAAACTTCGTTGAAGTAGTCCATCGCTACGTGTGTTCCGATGTGACTGAGAGGCAGCGCAAGTGGTTGTCCTTGGTGAACAACCATTGCAGTTTCAGTCATGCGCTGCGCAGAAACAAGCTCAGCTGGACCATGCCATCCATAGTCATCTTTTTGGCGCGGCTGTCGATAGATGTCAGCAGTCATGCCAGGAATGAGAAGGCTGAGATCATGCTTCTGTTGTTTTGTTCTTCTTGCAATGGCGAGGCATTCACCAACAACGGCTTGCAGAATGGCTTGCTTGGCAAGGAGGCGTCCACGGATAGCTTGTTCTGCAAAGTCTGCTCGAAAGTCTAAAGCGCCTGTGTGAGACTGCAGTTGTTCACAATCCATGTATTCTCTTGGATTCACACCAGTGACTGCTGTTTGAGGTGTCACGCCACCCTTTTCTAGTAGCGCGTTTTGACACATGGTGACCTCATTGATGATGTCATCGCGAGAGAGGGGGGGAGGGTTCAAGCCTTCCCGACGAGAAGCTTCGTGCAGGATCAGCATGGAGCGCTTTGTCAGACCAATGTGTCGTTCAATCAGCCCTTTTGAATGATAGCCTGCTGGTCCGACAAAAGTTCTTGTGGTGCCCAGTCGTTCACAGAAGACTGTGGCTTCAGCGCTGCCAAGTCCTCCTTCTTGATCAGAACATAGGGTTTGCATAGGACCCCAAATGCGAATCCACTGAGACATCAAAGCTTTCAGCAATGTTGTAGACTGCTTGTTTTCCAGGCGGCAGCCTGTCTTCCAAATGTGTGCAGCTATCAATGTAAAGGGCAAAAGGCTGACCCCATAGGAAGAACAAGTCCTGATGCAGCAATTCATTGAACTGTGTGGCAACATGTCCGCGTAGAAGTGGTCTTGGTGCTTTGTTTGCGAACTTCTGGCAGTCTGAGCACTGTTGACCGACCTCAACGCCAAGATGCAAGATGTCTTTGTGCATTATATCGTGGCTTGGAGTAGGCGAAGCATGTCTGTAACACCACAGTGGAAGAAGCTTTCTTTCCTTTTGGCCTGCGTGTAGAAGCTGCTTTGGAAGTTCTTTGAAGTCGTGACTTGGCTTGTGGACGTCTCGTTCTCCAGAAAGCTTCACATCTGAGAGCCAAGAACGGTAGTCGGATGAAGTGGTACACGAGGAGGTTCACGGATCAACTTGGTCTTGGTGGTGGCTCTCACAAGACCTGCGGAGATGATGCCAAGGACAGTCAAAGCTCCTGCACATAGGATGACAGGTCGTCGTTGAAGCTGTTGAGTTGAAAGGAACTTCAAAGGCACTAAGTGGATGTTCACATGGTGCATGTCTTGTTCCAAGACGAATAGCAGGGCAAAGCAATCGTTGCCTTCACTTGTGAAGTGGTGTCGTGGTTGATATGGATCTCCAAAACATCCAATTCCATGCCTGCTCGGAGAGTCTTTCGAAAAGAACTGATGCCATGCAAGGTCTTGGCATTGTTGGGAATGTCTTCTCGTGGTAGAAGAAGTATGGAGCCTGGTATCTCTTTGAACTGGTCGCTCACAGCTTCAAAGAAGGGCTTCATGGATTCTTTGAGGTTGTCATCCCACTCAGGAGAGATCAAAGCAACATTCCCGCACAGCTGCAAGGCGTTGGATCCAGTGAGGTGTGGCCTATACTCTGGTCGTAGTTCAGGAAGAACATCTGTGCCCAATCCTGGAGGTGGTGAAATTCTTGGAAGTGGCGCAGCTGGAAATGCATTGCCTGCTTTCTTGTACTGCTCATCATCGTGCATGATGTCCTGGCAGTCCAAAGACTTGCCAGAGTAGAAGTCTCTGTTTTGAGAAGCAGAGGAAATGTCCTGGCAGAGTGCCTGGCATAAACGCAGAGGAAAGAGTGCCGCTTTTGCAGTTTGATTGGTGGTGCCATCTTCACACTTTCCTTGAAGTTGTATATGTCCTTTGGAGCGTCTACAACGCTTGCAGGAGTGCGAAAGTTCAAAGCTGGATACAAAGGTAGTCTGCTGCCGGGAGCGTTCGCCGTCAGGCAGCCCATGAACAAAGCAGCATTGATCAGTGAAGTAGGCAGCATCATGCTGACTCAGGATCAGACTGTTGGCTGAGGATTCATGCCATATAGCCCAGCTTTAGCCTGATGTACCATCACTTCTGTGTTGAAGTCCAAGGCTGGTCTTTCTTCTCGTCTTCGGAGCTCGGTAGTAGCTTTGTCTCTTCTGACTCCAGAACCGGACCAGTACTTGCAGCGAGGTTCTCCAGGCTTGAAGAAGTGATTCATCTGTCGTACGAGTTCTTGATGAGGCTTGTGGCCCAAATGCCAGCCATAACGTAGGTCCAACGGAGGGAGGACCAGCGTGGAGAACGGAGGCCGTGATGCTGTGAGTGCAAGGCGGGTTGATCCTGAAAGCATGCGAAAGAGTGAGACGGGCTCGAAGCTCCAGGAACCTAAGGATGCAAGGAACTGTATCACATTCTGTAGCGTGATGATGCTTCTGGTATTCGGTAGCCTTCAATGGTGGTCCAGCAGGCAAAGAGAGCTTGCTGCAAACGGCTAGAGGAACCTAGCAGCGTGCAGGAAGAAGTCAGTGGCATGGCATTAACATTGGAATGCTCTATGTCGGCATTCTCAGTCGTGGTGGTGTCGTGTGGCTGCTGCTGCTGCTGTTGTGGTAAAGAGGTTGTGCTGAGTGAGGTTGCAGTGGTAGTGCAAAAAGGTTGTATCTGTAGTGGAAATGGTCAGCGTTTTGACGTCGTGCTCAGGACTCACTGAGAAATCAGATCATCCTCTGGGTCTTCTTGCTGGAACATATGCTTGACATAAGTTGCGTGGAAGTTGACTGCTGAGTCTCGAATATCGGAGCGAGAGGTGTCAAGGTGACAAGTCCAGCTTGCGGCTCTGGTACGAAAGGCTGCGAGGAACTGATTCACCAAACTTGTCAATGGCCAGGAGGTATAGTGACCAGAGTCTTTGAGCTCCAGCGCTTGCGGAATCCATTCACGACAGGAGCCATTGAAGATGGAGATGATCAGTAGGCCATTGCCATTGGCAAAGTACTCGGAGAGGAGGATGCTCTTTGACTTGCGGAGAGAGCTGAGTGGTAGAAGGCCTGGACAGTCTCCTGGAATCACATCGGTGGTGAACTGAGCATGAGGAATGCTTGGCGAGCTGGTGGGAAAAGTGAGGAATCCCAACGAGCGCTCTACCCTGCTGTTGATGCCTGTGAACTTGTGCTTGCTTGTGGCCCATGTGACTTGGTGTTGTGGTCCAAGTGGAACGAGCACATTGTGCTTGATCTGCTGAAAGGTCTTGTCTCACATGAGACCCTTGGAGGCGCCAGGATCAACAATCAAGCCGTAGCGTCTGGTTCCATGAACGGACTGGAAGACACTGCATGGAAGCTGTGTAGCGGTGGATGAAGGTTCATGACCTGTCAGGGAGGCTTCCAGTTGCTGATCACTGTGATCAGGTTCATCTGTAGAGACTGTCAGCGTCGTTTCTGCTGGATAGTCGAGGTAGGAAATAGCATGCGTTCTCTTCTGCTGGAGTCGTCGTTGAACTTGCTAGTGGCTGGACAGTCACAGACGGAGAGAACTGAGGTGGAGAGGTAGACACTCGTGACCAGCTAGCATCAGAAGCTAGAGAACATCCATGTCGCCCATGACAGTAGGCACAAAGCTGGATGTTGCAGTTCAGGCGGTAGAACTGGGGCTTCGCATGTGGTAATGCTGTTTTGCACTCAGAGCATCTGGGTGTGGTAGGAATGAGCTTGGAAGCGATAGAAGGCTGTCATAGGGCTGGAGAACAGCTCGTGGTCCTTGAGAGCTGTGCTTTGATCAAACATAGTCCGGAAGCCAGTAGAGCTGGGCAAGGAAGAGTGGTCAACGCTAGCCTCTGCTGCCTTCTCCGGCGATCTGGCTGCTCTGCGCACAAACAAGGTCTCAGGCAATGAGAAAGAGACCTCTGGCATAGAGGAGGAAGAAGCACGATGAGAAGCCAACAAAGGTTGTTCTGCTGATGTAGGAAACAGGCGCAGACGGTTGTAGTGCTCCAGTGTATGATGAGCTCGAGGCCCCAAAGATCGAACCGATCGCATTGCACATTTGTCTCTTGCGCTCTGGTTCAGCGGAATCGTTTCCTTTCTTGTGCTTGGGCGAGGGCGAAGGAGAGAGGAGTCAGGGTCGTAGTAGTCGCTGTAGTCCTCATACAAACTCTTTCCTTCTCTTGACTTGCCCTTGCTTTTGCCTTTCTTGCCATAGGCCTTTCCTGGTTCTTTCCTTTTCCTTTCCAATGACCTGGCATTTGTGGACTTCGAGGGGCAAAGCCACGTGGACGAGGGAAGGAGCCCTTGCCGAAGCCCTTGCCGCCGTATAGCTCGCTAGACCACGTGTAGTCCTCTGAGATGTCGGCGTGATGAGATGCATCTTATTGAGATGTAGGAACTGGAGACAAGGGACGATGAAACTTCGAACCACAATTCGTGCGCTGAGAGCCAACCGGCTGTTTGGATTTGCCCTTCTTTCCTCGGTGCAGTGGACATAGAGGTCAGGTGGGGCCAGTCGGTCCATTCATCAGAAGACCACCTCTATAGTAGCTGAGATCGGCGTTGTAGTCCCAGTCATCATCACACCACCAGTCATAGGTGGGCCAGTCGTCCTGCTCCTAGAACTCATGGAGATGGTACGTGCCTGGGCCACGAAGTGGCGATAGCCTTGAGCTTGGTCTTTGATGACATCCTGGCTACGGCTGTCTGCCAGGTCACCATCTCTCTGTAGCAACTTAGATCGCCGCCCACACGGAGGCGCAAGTCAGTGATCTCTCAACATACAGGCGGTCCCATCGGGAGAAACTCATCAAACGGTTCTCCTGGCTGTTGTCGAGTGGAGAAGAAGGCATCTCCTGGCTGTTGTCGAGTGGAGAAGAAGGCCTCTAAGGAATTGCAGGCTCTGTCTTGGTCATTCATCCAGAACTGAGTCACGAAGAGGTCAACCAATGACTTGGCTCCTGGCGGATGCAGGCGCAATAGTGGCCCCTGTGGTAGCTTTCTATATGGCTGTTGTCTGAGTGAGACGCGGCTTCAACTCCTCGGTAGGTGATTGGCACAACAGTGCCATTTGGCTGTTGAACTTGTCGAACAATCGCAAGGTTCATGTCAGTCTGCCACACGCATCCTTCCAATCTGCTGATGATAGCGGCTCCAAGCTGCCCTGGGCCCAGACGGGTGAGGCGAAGCCAGATGGACAAAAGCTCTTTCCACCTGGCAATCGAGTATAGGACCTGGGTTGCCAGCCGGGCGGCGCATCCTTGCTCTAGTCTTGCAAGGGAAGCTGCGAAGACACTGTAGATTCCGTCATTCCGAAACAAAGCAAAGTGGTGTGTTGTGGTCGTGGAGGTGGAAGTGATGTAGTAGCAATGGTGCAGCAAAGCGAGCGAGTGCCGAACTCAAAGGCAATGGTGCGAATGCTGTGGCAAAGATGCAATACCTGAGCTGGTGCGGAGGAGCAAACAAATCGGCTCCGCTACCAAAGTTCGGCAGCGAACCAAAAACAAAGGAGGTAGGGATACTTCTCTATGTATCTATGAGTGTGAATACACTTCTCGATTTGTGCGTGTCGAATCGAAATGCAACGCATCGGACTTTTGCTGTGACTTGAGCCAGTTCAAAGGTGAGACTGAAGTGTTATGCGAAATCCCTCGAAGAACATGTTCAAGCAACTGTCTGTTCGTATTCCAACTGAGGGAGGGAGGGGGTGACCCGGATCAAGGGGCAAACCTAATGGACCAGAAAAATCACCCGGCTTCAAAGCCGAACTTGCGCCAAGAGAACTCAATTTGATTCCAAATTTGAGCTGGAAATTCCAACTTGGGCTGCAATGTGGAGATGGGAAGTTGGTTGGCTGGCTGAGCTATGCCAACTTCCACCCCAGCGCACCCATGTATGTTTCTCATATCCCAGCCCAGCCAGGCGCCCATCTTCAATTCTTGAGCGCCGACGTGGGCTGGGGAAGTCCCTTCGCGGGCGACAGCACACCGTTGTTCGGGAACAGACTCCCAAACAACGGTCTTTTAAGAAACTTGAATTTCATGCCAAACTATGGCACCTGGGGAATTTGGAACCAGCTCGCTGTCGGACGGGGCAAGCTCGTCCACTGAGCTGGCAGGCGCAATGGTGCACTGGGAGATGGCTTGAGTGTCACCTGTGGATAGTTTATAACATATAAGTACAGTTACCCGAGTGGGAAGGTGATTGGAAGAACGGACTTTGAGATGGGTTCGTGCACATACCCTGTGTATGTTCTCCGTTCTAAGACATTAGTTTGGACGGGTTTGAAGCTATGGATGCAGATTTCTCTAGCAAAGCAGTCGAATCTACGAGTGACATTGCAAAGGTCTCTCTCTTGGAATGCTGCGTTGAGCTCGGGCCAACTCCCTTGACGTCTCCTTTTGGAGGAACATTTCGCCTTCAAAGGTGCCAAGCGCGGCCCATTGCCGTTCGACAGGGACATGATGTGGGTATGGGTCATTTCACCTTGCAGTGGTTGACAATGATGTTGCATGCCCAATGCACAAAGACAGAACTGGGACCTGTGATCCACACCCCTGTCTGCTTAGAGCTGCCAGATGGGCAGGTGGGAGCGCTGTGGGCGTCCCTCAAAATGCGGCTTTGGCTAGCAGGGTTGTTTGTGTTAAAATCTTAGGTTTGTCAAACAGTGTAGTTGCTCTACCTAGTCTACAGTCTGCAAGCTTAATCAGGCGAGGCCTTGTGAACAGGGTTTGTGGTGCCATCGCGCTGCCATTTCGGATACACAGGCGCTGCCAGAGTGGGAGCATGATTGGGCGAAACAGCGCACAAACATGATGAGCTAATGATTAGGCAAATGAATGCAGGTAGCGGCACAGGCCACCACATGGAACATTCACAGGCACCATGGCATTCAAGTGCCTTTGACACCTGGGAAGCAAACTCGAAAGAACGAGAACGATTTTTTGGCTAGCAGTTTGTCAGAACAACAGCCCACAGCGCCAGAACAACCGGGGCACAAGTCAGCCAAACTCAGAGCCTTTTTTGTTACCCCGCGTAGTTTGGAAGGAGCGCTAGTCGCTCGCCTTTTTCCTCGCATGTGATGTCTATAGAGCTGGAGCATGCGATCGGCTGCAATGTGGAGTGGCCAATGGCATGTTTATTGCCGTGGAGACTCGGGGAAGGCATCCATTCTTAGCCTCTGTCAGGAAGTGAAACAGTTCGGATTGGATATGATCGAACAAAGAAATAGAATCACCTGAGATCATGGAACAAGTCAAGTGGGAGCGCTATTTTGGATGCTTTTTAGGGAGATGCCCCAAAGAAACCCCCCTTCCGGCGCCCGCCCGATCTGCCCGACTGCTCCGGTTTCCAAAGAGGTTCTTTTGGTCGAAGATGTTTGCCCTGCCAACTCTTTGTCAAGGACTTCCTTGGACTCCGTCCGGCATCTGGTGCTGTACTGAACCCCATTGAAGACACAAAAACAGATCCCCTGTGGATAGAACACGGTGCGTCGTATGAAGGCACAGATGCGTGACCCTCCGGAGTCTCTACATCATGTGACCCAGGCCTCTGGGCCTCGATCATGTGACACTCGGGATCGATCTTAAGCACGGTCACGGTCAGTGAAGGTCGCAACATGGAGGGCGATGGAAGGGCCAACCTCGCCGCCTGACGTGCCCACAGACTCGGTGGAGTCGACACACCGTGCTCCCTTGCCTCCGTGCTCGGGCGATGAATCGTCCTCGGCCAGATTCAAGCGGATCTGCCACATCCATCCAAATGGGAAAGACTATTTGAAGGCAGTGGGTGGAGTCGGGGATCCCAATGGGGTGACACAGGGCAGCAGGGTGGCACAGGTTGGTGGATCGACGAAGTACCTGGGCTCTGAATCCAGACCATTGCCCCATGGTTTTCGAGGTTTGGCCAGCATGAACCACGGAGCGACTCAGGTGCTTGGTCAGGCGCGCTTCGCTGGGTGCATGAAACATCCATGCAAATCATGCCCCACTTGTTGAACAGGAAACACCGTTACCACTCAGGGACACCGAGATCGCTCACCGGGCGAAGCCCAAGAAGTCCCATGAGGTGAGATGCCCGGTCCTACCGCAGGTGTAGACGTATGTCTATTCTTCCATTGACATCTTGGAGGACCAGGGGCTTGGGAATGTTCAGATGCATGACCACCCCATAGTCGAACTACCTTCTTTTTGTGCGCCTGTAGTGTAGTAATGTACCAAGCCATAATTTTTTGGATGGCAAATGATGGCACCCCTGGAGACAAGAGGCACCTTCGCCGAACAAACGGTCGAACACGGTCCGGCCCCAGCATGACGGGTGACGGAATGCGGAAACTCAGGTCGTGATCATCGGTGATCTGCTGGAAACTCAGATGAGGTACCCCGTGACGAGAATATGGGAGCAGCTGCTTTTTGGGGTGGAAGAGTTTACAAAGCACTGCAAACAGACGGGTATATATACATATTTATGTATAAACAGACACAGCACATATTACCATGTAGTAGCCCTAAGGCGTTGCAGGCTACAAAAAGGCGTGCCGGGCTGTCTCTATACCCTCAAGCACCACAGGACCACAATTCCCACCCAGTATATACACAGTAATTTGTTTGTCACACCCCGCAAAAGCAGGTGCAACGGCTTACTGTTTCAATTTGTTTGATGCATCACAAAAACTGAGAGCACCCTGGCCTAGCATTGATTTTTTTGTTGATCATGTTGAACTGGCACTAGTCACTAGTCAACCACCAAGTGCACTGATAATCTTTGTGGGTGTCCTCAAGCAAGCATTCCGATCTCCAACGAGTTTGGCACCTTCTGTGGTGCACCGAGGAAGGATCCACATGCCCAGGCCCTGCGGCAACGCGGCAGTTGTGGCTGTGGGACGAGCCTTTGCCAGTGGAGTAGCAGTGGATGTGCAGGTACTAAGTCACTGCCAAATCCTGAACCCCTCCTTGCACAGGTACACCAAAGCGAACAGATTTGCAACAAAGCCAGGTATCTGGGGTGGATGTCTTGAAAACTCGGCGAAGGAGAACCATGTTCATTTGCACTTACAGTAGCAAGATTGGCTCTTTTTCCAAGTGTACACACAACATGACTCTCAAGCTTATGTGTGCCCCAAACCACTCCTGGTAGTCTTGAGTAGAAAGTTTCCACCGCCCGCCCCATCCAGTTTTCGAGAGAACTTCCCACCAGAGCTCCATGTGGTATCCGGCGAGCTCCATGGCAGCACCTAGAATTGGCAGCACCCCTTTTCTTTGGACCTCTTTCATGAACAAGCACCGAAGTTCTTCACCCTGCTTGGCCGGATGATGCACTGGACCTGGACATCCAGTCTGCCAGGTCTTCTGCCAAGGCCACGATGACTTCGTGACCTGCTTGGCGGTGCGGAACCCGTGGTGTTGGGCCACCGGCAAGGTGGTATGATGTGGTTTTGGTGCATGGCAGAGGTTGCACAAGTGGAACAAAACATATGTTTGAAGTGTTGGGCTTCAGCACTTGGATGTCTAAAGATGTTTAAAGTCGGTGGAGCACCAACAAACTCGCATGGGGAAACTCTATGTTGACAGAGTTCACACACGGGTTTCAACCAACATAGAGGTGTACACGCATATGTATACTTGGCACAAGGGTGGACACCTTGTGGCGCCGGACACCGCCTGAACGCGGCTCGTGCCTCTCTCTCGTGCAACACCGCTGGGCCAGGTCTCCCACAATGGACAGATGTTCGCCACGGGTCAACAGGGCGATAACGCCGACGTCATTTTGTGGAGCAGGGCCACTTGGGGAGTCGATGTCGATGCAACGGAACGGATTGAGTCGACTCAATGGTTTTTGTGTCGAAATAAGACTTGCAGGATATGGAGGGTTTGGTTTGAGTGGAACTTAGACACACAAAGCGAGTCACCAAGTTTCAGTTTGCTGTGGAACTGTTTCGAAAGGCTTTCGTTGCTCAGGTTTTGAAGGAAAGACGCAGCTGAGTTGTTTTCAGGACAGCACAGTGGCTCATCTGAGTCATCTGAGCCTTCTTTTCAGGGCGGCCAAGGGTCATGCCTTGAGATGCATCGAAGAAAGCCACAGGTTCAGATGCCAACCATTCATGTGCCCAGCATGACCCGAGAGGAATCCATTTAGTAGGTCCAGCAAGACGTAGGCCCGTCATTGGAATCAGTTAGTAAGAGTTCCAATCTTCCAATCAGTCGATGTCCCCTTTTTCCCATCAAACGGCCGCCGTCTTTGCTCGTTTTCGCGGTTCTTCAGGAGCAGGATCATGGCATCGACGCCTTAGCCTTCTCCCACGACGACCGATTTCTCATCTCCTGTTCGGGTTCTCAGGAAGCTCTGTTTTGCGGACATAAGGGTATCCAGAAAATAAGAATCACCAAGATCGGTGGGGCAAATTGCAGAGATTTTTATCTGGGTGTTGGTGGAGTCTGTTAATCGCACTGGGAATTCCTCAGCGTGCCGAAATCATGGGCAGATCTTAGAGATTGTGCACAAGTGTTTGCACTGCTGTCCAGATCAATGAGTTTGTGCCTGTCTCGTTTCTCTCGTGGGGGCCAAAAAGGCTAAGGAATCGTGCATTTTGAGTTGGATCTGCTGGAGACTGTCAAGCTTGAGATTCAATGGCTGTCTCGTCACGAAACACCCAGCTGGATGGTTTGGCCAAGCAAACTCTGCAGCTTCCTTTAAACTGCCGAAAGTGTCGCCCCTGAGGCGGTGACATTGTGGACCAACGCGTCTTCGTGTATGACACCAATAGCTGCCAGGGCTCACTGAACCGATCGCGGGTCGCACCGCGAAGAGACCACGGCGACAACACGACAACAGACAGTGGGGGGGGTGCCAAAAGACCAAGACATGGTGATGCGCAAGAAACTTGGGTGAAGGGAAACTGGATGACCTTGGAATCCTAAAGGGTCTTGATTGTTTGAATTGCTGTT